TGGGAGGCAAAGGCAGGAGACTCGCTTGAGCCCAGGAGTTGGGGGTTGCTGTGAGCTGTAATGCCACAGCACTCTACCCAGGGGGACAGCTTGAAGCTCTATCTCAAAAAAAAAAAGATTCTGCTTAGCAAAAAATGTATCTGAATTAGATATTTTTCCCTCCCTCATTTTAGTGAAAGATCTCCCAGTTCAGATAGGGTGGAATGAAGTCCAGCACCCTACTCTCCTCTTGCCTTCCTCCTCCTCCTCCTGCTGGCCCTGCCCTGCTGTAGTCTTCCTCACTGTTCCATAGGGTGGGTGATCATGGTTAGAGTTGGAGTTTCATGTCAGCTGGGGCAGCATGGCCCTAGTGCTGTCGGCATGGCCCTGGGCAGCAGGGGAGGTCACAGGATATAGGCAAGGGCCGGGCTCTACAGAGGGCAACTGTCTCAAATCTGGAAGGCTTAGTCTAGCATCTGGACCAGGAAGCTCATCTTCTAGACATGGCTAACCCAGGCGGAAGTCCCAGGAGCTGGGGCCTCCAGTGAAGGCCTGGAGTCTTGCTTACCCTCCCTGGTCAGTTTTCCCTCTGTGAAATGGATGTCAAACTAGGAGCACCCCAGTTCCTGTTTCAAAAGGCACAGGCAACCAAAAATGGCAGATGGAGGTTCAAATCCTGGCTCTGCCATTTGACCTGCAAAGTCTACAGTCTTGCTGTTCCTAGGGTGGAGGTGAGACCTTAGCAGAGGCACTTCGGGTCCTTACCTCCCCCCTACCCCGGGAGGGACCCTAACTCTCATGAGAAGTGAGGAAGGCCTCAAATAGCCCACCCCCTACTCAGTACGCATGAGCCCATGCAAAGCACAGTCCCAGGTCACAACTTGAGGGGACCCCCATGGAAAAAAGAGCCCGGGTGGAGTCAGCTCCTCGGGCCTGCCCTGACCCTCAGGCCGGGCCCCTCCTCCTTGCTTCCCTCCTAGCTGCCATTACAATACCCATACCTTTTATGAGCTTCATTAAATCTTTAATGATGCATGGTTGTGCAACTGGCTTAGGGCTTAATCCCCAGCAATAGGCCTTTATTGGATAAATGGTTAATAATCACTCGTCTGCAGGGATTGGGGCAGCTTTGCCGAGGCCCTGATCCCAGAAGCCCCACATGGTCTGTGGCAGGGCCTGCGTGTGCCTCTCCTGCAGCAGCACTGCCTAGGGATGAAGGCCTGAGCTCACAGCAGGGCATTTCTTCCACCAGAGGAGGAGCGGGCAGCCCCCAGGAGCTCTTCAAAGGTGTCTCCACCTGCTCCAGGGTTTGCTTTCCATTCTTTTGCCTTGAACAAACTGCTCGACCTTGAGCGAATCTCCTGATCCTTCTGGGCCTCAGTTTCTTCATCTATCAAATAGAAAGATGGGAAGAGATGACCTAGAAGGTGCTGAGTGTCATGACTCTGTGAGTCCCACCATTGCAGAGCCTCCTCTCTCTGGCTCTCCAGTACTTCACCAAGGGCTGTGAATGATAAGGGACCCAGCAGTCCAGCAGATTAAGTGTTTAAGCTGCTGGGCAAAGAATTGGGTCAGCTATAGTCATAGGGCAGTGTGTGCAAAGGGAATCCACAGGGCCAGGCTTGGCCCTTGATTTTTATAGCCTGACTTGGGGTTTCTGCCAGCTCTGGGCAGGACACAAAGTAGGCATTAAAAAGGGAAGCCTCTGGGAAGAGAAGGAGACTCTTTCAGATGTAGAGCTGGGGATAAGCCAGGAATTGCCCTCAGGTGAAAAAGGAAGGGGTCTTGGATTTTACTCCCAGCTTGCTGTTGGGGGAAGGCTGTTGACTGCGAATTGGTTTTGACTTTACAGTTGCAGAGGGTAGGCTGGCCCTGGGGTAGGGAGTCAAACAGGCCTGTTCTTGGATCACATTCCACCCCTCACTCATTTCCAGGCTCCCTGGTCTTGGACAACCTACTCCCCCAAGCCTGAGACATTTTTAAGATAGCATTAGCAACACCTCTTTTCAGCAATGACAGTGTGGGTTTGAAATTGTCATATGTAAAGCGTGTAGTAGGTGCCAGTAACTACCGTGGGAGCAACTTAATGTTATGGCGCCTGTTGTATGCTTTGCATTGCTGGCATAAAACGCTTACTAGAGAGAGAGAGAGAGAGACGAGGCTTAACATGGCTGGCATGATTTTGAGTCCTTTTATCTGAAAATAAAATAAAGCAGACTACAAACAGAGCCGCATTAACATTTAGACTCAGTGGCACTGCTCCAAAACCTGCAGCTTCAGGACTGGAATCAAAGTCTGACTGAAGGACTATTTCTCACGTTGCCTCAGAATGGACTCCCCTGGCTCCTGCCTCCCACCCCACCGCGCCCAGGCACAGAGCCTAGTCCCTGCCATGTGTGACCGTGTGCCTGCTCTGCTTGTATTTCAGATCTTCCCCGACCCATCAGACTTCGAGCGTTGCTGCAAACTGAAGGACCGCCTGCCCTCCATCGTGGTGGAGCCCACAGAGGGCGAGGTGGAGAGTGGGGAGCTCCGATGGCCCCCCGAGGAGTTCTTGGTCCAGGAGGAGGAGCAAGACAACTGCGAAGAGACGGCGAAAGAAAACAAGGAGCAGTAGAGTCCCCGCGGACACAGCCCCGTGGGGTCACACCAGCCAGCATCCGTTCCTGAACTGTGTTTTTCCCATCATGATGGAAGAAGAGAGCGAGCCACAGTAGTTCTGAAAATGTCAAATGAGGCTTCCGTTTTGCACCTGCAAATCACCGAGTTGGTTTTCTTTTCTTTGCTTGTCTTTTCTTGAAATCTGCCGAGCAGTGGAGCCCTCTGAGGACTTGCAAGGCCTTCTGAGAAAGGGAGCTGCTTAGAGGCGGGGGTGGGGGCGGGGAGAGGGGGCAGTTTTTGAGATCATTATCTGAACTCCATGGCCAGAGACAGTGGTGGGATTCTAGTGGGCTCCAGGGCTGGGCCATGGGAGAGTTGCAAAGTGAGCAAGGAACATTTGAAGTAAGAAAACACGAGGCAAAAGAGAAAATACATGTTTTTAAGAAAGCATTGAGCAGAGAGCTGTAGCCAGGAAGTGCTCAGCTGCAGGGGCATCAGAAAACAAAGTTTTCATCTCACTCCAGTTTCCCCCACCCCACCCTTTGCTCTTATTTCAGATGTTTTGGTCTGTGATGGGGAGGAGAGTGGTATCAGGAAAGGCAAGGCCACCTGCCCCTCTCCAGCGCCTCCTCCCTCAGCCTGGCAGGCTCACAGAGCCCAGGTGGTCAGGTTTATAAGACAGTGCTTTTGAGCTTTCTTCCCTGACTTGCCTTTTGTCTCCAGCACTTTGGGAAGTAGCAGAGCGCTTCCTGCCCTTGCTGGAAGCCCCAAGGCAGACTGCTGGGCACGGAGGTCTCTCCCTCTGTTGCTGCCCACCCAGGACTTGCTCTCAGAGTGGGAGCAGAGGCTAGGAATGGCTGGGCTCACCTCCCTTCTCAGCGCCACCCCCTTCCCGGCTGCAGGCAAGTAGATGGGTCCCCCTATGCATCCTATTGCCACCAGTCTGGCCGGCTGCAGTGCCCGCTCCTGAGACAGCTTTTGGCCTGTTTTTCCTGTGAAAGATGTGTAGAGAGCCCAGGCAGCTTTTTCTGTTTCTAATAAGGGAAGGGGGGCTTTCATGCAAGCCCTGAGAGCTGCCTGTCCTGGGCGTTTCTGCACGGGGGTGTTGAAGCTTGTGTAGCAGCCCTGGAATCTAGTCTGAGACAGATTGAAGGGTGTCACGAACCCTCCGGCTTCCCTCACCGAACGGTGGTCCTCCCTTCTCCCCAACCCCCAACACCTGTTTCCTACAAGATGACCAGCTGGATGTGATGATGGCCTTTGGACTGAGAGCTGCTTATTGTAGTTAAGAATCGTCTGGAGTAGCAGGTTACAGGAAAACACTTCAACCCATCTCAGAGCATGACTGCATGGCCAGGAGGTGGATGTAGACCCTTGAGCCAACCAAGGTACCCACCGCACCCCTCAGGTCCCCAGTCAATTGAGTTGACCCCAGTTTTGGACTTGTGTGTATAGCTGTATCTAATACCTCAAGGGCAGTGTGGCTCTGGGGAATGTTGGGGCAGGGGGGTGGGGGACAAGGGACACTGTTGACCCAGCAGTTGGCAGGATTCAGTCTGGGAAGCTGATGGTTGCCCTCACCCCTGCTTCCTCCCTCTGTTGTCCGCCTGTGTGACACACACCAACGATGGCAATAACTTCTTCCGGCTCCTCGCAGAAGTGGGAGAGGCCTGCCGCCTGTGCCGTGAGGAGGTTTCTCTCGGCTCCCCGCTTCGTTCGGTTTTGGCTGCAGAGAGTGGTTCGTCCCTACTCTCATTCCCTTGCCTCCCTTTGTGGACAGGGGGCTTGCCTTTTAAAACCCCGTGTTTTGGTGTCTCCCTCTCATCTGCTCCCCTGGATCATCTGTCCCAGTCTTGCTGTGTGATGGGAACGTGCTTGTAAACCGTGTAACAAATCTACTTTGTGTATATGTACGTTTATGGAGTGGTTTGTTTTTGCCGGTCACTAGACCACTTTGTATGACCGTGTGCAGTCGGAGCAGGCCAGGGGCTTACGCTCACATTAGGACCCCCCTGCAGCTGAGCCTGCCAGGGGGTACCCAGCTGCTCTGGGACAAGTGGCTGAGCTCCTATCTGGCCTCCTCTTTTTTTTTTTTTTTTTTTAAAGTAACTTGTGTGTATTTCTAACTGATCGTATTGGAAAAATAAATCCTAGTATTTCAGTATAAATGCCTGTTGTGAAATGAACCTCCTGTAACTTCTATCTGTTCTTTTTTGAGGCTCAGGGAGAAACTAGCATTTTTTTTTTTTCCAAACTACTTTTTGTCACTGTGACAGTTGTAAATAAAGTTTGAAAATGCTTTCCACTGGGGTCTGGTTTCCTTTCTTCCTGCTCCGCTGGCACAGAGGGAGTCAGGAACTTGGTGAAGTCTCACAGGACACTGCACTGGGACGGTCCAAGTGAGGTTCCTTACGCGTCTCGTCTGCTGGCCCTTCACAGTCACCTGCACAGACGAAAGCAGCCTTTCTTTTCTTCTGTTAGCAGTGGTTCTCAATTCTGGATAGACATCACAATCACCTAGAAAGCTTCGAAAATAAATGCCTTGGGAACTTCCATGCAGAAACTTGGGTTTCAGTGGTCTGAATATGGTCAAGGCATTAATATTCTAGAATCACCTAGGGAGATTTGCACCTACAACCAAGGTTTGAACTGCCTTTCCAAAGGAAAGAAACCCAGGTACGTTGTAAGTTCATTCACAAAGAGTGGGGTCAAGTGGGCGTGTAGAGAGCTCAAGCCCTCACTTGAAGCATTTCCCCAGTGCCCACCACTTGGCAGGCATGGTGAGAGGCTGGGGACACAGAATGGCAGTGGTCCTGGCTCTCTTGACACTTGCCCTCCACCACCATGGGGGGGGGGCGGCGGGCAGGACAGTAGCCCTGAGACCAGGACGGTTTGGTGGAGGTTGGCACAAGAGAAAGCAACTCTTTGTAGAAGGGATTTGGGGACATTTTTCTAACCGCAGTCTGCGTATTTTTGCCTTCACTCAGCCCTCAGGTGGGGTCGTACATGTGGTGAGGATGTCCCCAATATTAATAGAATATCAGTTCAGTTTCACAGTTGTCTTCGGGAAGCAAGTAGGTCTGTGGAGTGCTACACCGAGGGTAACTGGCAGGAATGACCACTTCATATTAGATCATCCCTCTACTGCCCTCCAACAGCCTGAGGATGGAGTTTCCTAGAATGCCTCCTCCTTGAACACAGCCTCTCAGAAAACTGTTTTTATTTGCAGAAAATCCTATGACAGCTATAAAAAAAAAGCGGCTATAACTAATATATGAGTGTATATGGTTCCAGGATGTAAATTCAGTATTCAAAAATTGATTATCTTTCTATGTACTAGTAATGAATAACTGGAAATTGAAATTTGCAATACCACTTACATAAGCATCAGAAAATATACTTGGGGCGGCGCCTGTGGCTCAAGGAGTAGGGTGCCAGCCCCATATACTGGGGGTGGTGGGTTCAAGTCCAGCCCCGACCAAAACTGCAGAAAAGAAACAAAATACACTTAGGAATAAATCCGACAAAAGACATAGAACCTATTCAATGAAAACCATGAAACACTGCTGAGAGAAATTGGAGAAGACCTACATAAATAGGTCTACTATGTTCATGGATCTGCCTCAATGTTTTTGAGATTTCACTTCTCTCCAAATTGATCTATAGACTCAACACAATCAAAATCTCAGCAAGGTTTTGTTGACATTGATAACCTGATTCTGAACTGCATATGGAAAAGAAAGGGCCAAGAATCACCAAACAGCCTTGAAAAAAGAAAAAGAAGGTTGAAGGACTTGCAATTCTCCATTTTTTTTTCTATTTTTCTTCCAAATCAGAATTTGACGGTCAGCCCAGTGTCTCTGCCCATTAATAAGTTCATTGCCTGTCCAATTCACTATTTTAAAACTTATTACAAAACTACAGTAATCAAAACAATACAGTATTGAATAAGATAGACAACTAGGTCAATGGAACAGAATAGAAAGTCCAGAAATAGCCCCCGTGTATATGGTTGACTGATTTTTGACAAAGGCTCCATAGCACTTCAGTGGAGAAAGGATAGTCTTTCCAACAAATGGTGCTGGAACAATTGGACATCCATTGGCCAATCACCCTCCAGGGACAGAAACAGGAGCATTTACTTCAGTCTCCCACAGTCTCCATGTGACTTTTGGAACAAAATAATTGTTTGGAAAAAATTTCTTTCATCCTTTTTCATGGTTGGCCAACCACTTCAATACTGTGCTGCTTTACTCCATGTGGCCCCTCTGTCCCTGAAAGGGGCACTGGGTGGCTGCTGCCGACTTTGCTGTGTCGCTCAGGCTGACTTGCATTCGAGTCCTGTGCAGACGCTCCATATGTGCTTTGGGGCCACTTTCTTTTTTTTTTTTTAGACAGAGCCTCAAGCTGTCCCCCTGGGTAGAGTGCCGTGGCATTACAGCTCACAGCAACCTCCAACTCCTGGGCTCAAGCGAGTCTCTTGCCTCCGCCTCCCAAGTAGCTGGGACCACAGGCGCCCGCCACAACGCCTGGCTATTTTTTGGTTGCAGCCGTCATTGTTGTTTGGTGGGTCCGGGCTGGGGATTCGAACCCGCCACCTTAGGTGTACGTGGCTGGCGCCTTAGCCAGTTGAGCTATAGGCGCCGAGCCGGGCCACTTTCTTAATGTCAGCATCCTCATTGTTCTTCTCTGTAAAATGGATACAGACTACTATCTCCTGCACAGGGTGTGAAGACTAAGCACTTAGCAGGGATGTCACAAGTCGGGGTTTTTTTTATCTCCTTCTTAAAGATCTAGTGACCAAGGAACTAACTTCTGGCTTCCCTCCTCTGCTTTTTGCTGTGGGTCCTCTGTGCAAACCAGATTCAAAAGTAGCTTCAAGGTGAAGACACCCTCCTACCCTCAATTGCAGCCCTCTTAGTTGCCCCTTCTTTTTATTCTCAGAGGGGAAAGGTGAGGAGAAGGGAGCTTTAATTCCTTCTGCCTCCCAAAATATTGGCAAGGGAAAAGAAAGCTGTCTCTCATCAAGGCAGGTACATAGCTCTGTTGGGATCCACTTTAGAGAGGTGATCCTTGAGCAGAGACCTGTTTGAAATGATGGTTGAGTTTTATATAGATTGGGAAGAGAATCTTGGTGAGAGAAGCAGCAAGTGCAAAGGCCCTGTGGTAGACATTGGCTCAGACTTTTTGAAGAATGACTGTCTATGGAGCTGGCATGTCTAAAGTAGAGAGAAAGAGAAGCAGCTGAGACCAGATACCTTGTGGGTCCTAGTGAGGAGGATGGATTTTAGAATTACTACTGCTCATCAGGCATCCCATCCCCTCCAGAGCTACCTGACTGGTGGCACATGGCAGTCAGTATTAATGGACCTGAGGCCCTACCACATCCTTACGAGCCTGCTGGATTAAATTAGGTAGAATTCAGTTTGTGTGACTGCCCTCAAATCACTAACAGGTGATTGTAGTTGAAAGTGTGGGCTTTGAGGCCAGGCTCCTGGGTCTGTAGCTCAGTTCTGCCTCCTACCAGCTGTGTGACCCTTGGCAAGTTACTTTACTTCACTGCACCTCACTTTCCTCATCTGTAAAATGAATATCTACCTCATACGGTCAAGGTGACATTTAAATGTGTTACTACAAGAAACATGCTTAGAACTGTACCAGCCACATAATAACTGCTCATTATGGAAGACAGAACAATGTCCCCCACCCCCACAGATGTCTATGTCTGAGTCTTAGGACCCTGTGACTATGTTACATTACATGGTACAGGGGAACTAAGGTTACTAATCAGCTGACCTTGACTTGGGGAGAGCCTGGATTACCCATGTAAGAGAGCCCAATTTAATTGCAAAGATTCCTATAATGAAAGGTGGAGGCAGAGGAGTGTGAGAGTCAGTGAGAGATATGAAGATGAAAAGCTGTTGACTTTGAAGGCAAAGAGACTACCAGCCAAGGATCAACGCAGGCCACCCTAGGACCTAGAGAAGGCAAGGAAATGATTCTCCCCAGAGCCTCCGCAAGGAACGCAGCCTTTGCCCACACTGGATATTGGCCCAGTGACACCCATTTTGGACTTCTGACCTCCTGAAATACAAGATAAATATGTTTTAAGCCACTAAATTTGTGGTAATTTGTTACAGCCATGGTAGGAAACTGATACAGCTGTTATCATCACAACTATGCTCACAGTGGTGGCACAGACTTGCCCCGGCTCAGAGTGGGTGGTAGTGAATAGATGGTGTTGCAGGCAGGCTGAGGTCACCATCTAGCCCCTGAAGCCCGCACCTTCCTAAGGCTTAGTGTCTTCTCTGGGTGTCACCACAGAGGTACCTGTCAGATGGAGGAGGCAACACTGCCTTGGGGCTGGATAAATTTGAGGCCATGAAGCCTTTATCCTATAGTTTTGAAAATTACTGATTCACGTGTGATATGGTCATCAGTACAGTCTCTGAGTCTAAATATTCATTAGGCTACTACCTTCAGAACTGCTGTTCACCTACATAGAAGGTCCTACTTTGCAATGCAATGGATGTGCAATATTTCCTTTGCCCTTTCCATCCGTTTACTCTTTTCTGTTGTTGGCGCCATTCCCAGAGCACTGGCTTACCTCCACTTCTCCTCAGTCTCACAACGCTTCTGAAAGTGTGGGGTTTTCATATAGATAATGTTCTTGGTTTTGCACAAACTACATTTAGCAATGATGGAAATTATAAAAGATGGTGCAATTTGGGGACTTCATCTTTCAAATCCCATCACGGTAGCAAATCAATAATTTGCATTTTGGTTTTCTTCCAGTCATCGTTCCCTATACTTACCAGAATGCACTCAGTGAATATGATTGTTTTCTATGACGTGAGCATTTTTAATATTATTTTACAGATGAGGAAGCTGAGGTCAGAGGGCTTTAAAATATACTGACTTTGGAACCTGAAAGAGGAGAATCAGAATCAATGGTATGCTGGTAAATGTGTAATAGCCAGCTCTCTGGGGATGGGGGTGGGAGCTAATTTGCAGCATCTGGCAATTTCCGTAGTGTAAATGCTCCTACCACGGCTGATTTCATGGAATTGGAATGAGATGGGAGCCAGTATGAGCCTGTCCCGGCACACCTCTACAATCCCTGATCCTCCTTAAACTATAAGAACATGGGCTCAGGTTCTCTGAGCCTCAGCTTCCTTTTCAGTAAAATGGGTATAATTCAAAAACCAGGGCAGTGGCTGCCTCAGACAGTCCCTGTAAACTCTAGTGCCCTTCCTTCATGTGGAAAAGAGAAATAGCTCCAGAAAGTTAACTGGCAAAGTATTT